ACGAGAGTTTCGTCGAGGGTTTTTCGAAATTTGGCTCTCTTTCTGTTCCAAGTAGAGCCCCAGATAGTGATTCTACATATCCGTGCGGCAGCCCTTTTTCCTCTTTTTTTGAATATTTCCATTTCAAGAGCGACTTGAGGAGCTTCTAATTCGCTTCAGCCAAAGCATCGCAATGCTTGAAAAAAATTACTAGCATGGAATTTTGCGGCTGGCCGGGATGTTTTTTGCCAAGACATTAGAATCACCTGTTGAACTGACCAGAACTAGGAGCCCCAGCTAAAAAATGTTGGAGAGTGGCGATGCCCTCACGGACTCAAAAATGACAGTGAAAAAGGTGAAGTCAAGTTAATACCATACGTAACTGAAACACAAGCCAGGAATATGTCAATGAAAAGTGTTTGAGTATTTGATTTGAACCTATAGCCAACAAAAAAATCATTGCTGTTGGCTTTTTTGAATTCACTCCCAAGGTAATGTTCTGTTCCACCAAAATATATAAAGTCATAAATGAAAATGTGCAGTTTTCTACGCTACACTAAGAACACGAAATGAATTTAGTCAAACTAGCACAGACAAAAATATCTGAATTTAAAATGCTTCCCTAAAATTCTTCTATGTCTTGCTTTTAACAAATTAACTAAATTTACTTTATTTAATTTTTGATATTTACTGGCGTGTTTTTGTATTTCCTGTTTTGTTTCTTTACTGTTTTTAATCCCTTTTTTAACACGTGTTTATGTGATAAAGTTCATTATTCATATGATCGATACTGAGTCTGAGAGGAAGAGGTCAGCAGACAACTCAGTGCAATTAACAAGGTCTTCCCACAGGCAGGTGAGTGTAGGTGCGAGGTGGTATCCCCATAATTGCACTTTAGACTAAAGGTGCACACCCCTACCAATCACGGCATACGTGGTCTCTGCGCCCTCTCGCGTACGACGTGCTCTCTCGCGTTTTCCCTCTCCTCGCAGCGCTGTGTCTCTCCGTCATACACGGCCGGCCTCACAAGGGAAATTTCAGTGTTTTCTATGGTGCTTTTTGCTTTTCTCCCCACTAACGTTCCTCATCGCACTTCTTGTCTGATTTTCGAACAAAATAACATACCATTCGAACCCGACCCGTGCTCAAGGAGTGATTACAATGAAGCCTAACCATAAGTGTTTGTTGTGCAGAGGAGATCTTGAATTTATCGTTCTGTAGGATTTATAACTGTAATCCTTAGAGTCATTTTCAATTTACATTCATCCTTACAGTTTCGAACAACTGTGTATTAACTACTGTAACGAGAAACTGCAACAATTGTTCATCGAACTCGTACTGAAACAGGAACAAGAGGAATACGAACGAGAAGGCATCAAATGGTCGAAAATTCGATTATTTATTTCAATAACAAAGTTAGGCTGGACCACTTGTTCTTCACTTTGAAAGAAAATCAAATTCTTTTTTTTTCTTTCAAGATCATTTGTGATTTGGTGGAAATGCCACGAACGGGAATTTTATCGGTGCTCGACGACGCGTGTGCTTCTGTCGGAAATGTGACTGATGAAGTGGGTAAATGTTAGCCTTCTAGGGTTTTCCATTGCCTGAACCGATAAGATGGTCATGGCGGTCTGCCTATGAAAGTTCCAAGACTTTTTCTTTGATACTAAGAAAATACCGTAACTTTGGACAAATTCTGTTATTTTAGGTGTTTCTCAAAGAACTCGACAAAAACTTGCAATCACACAAGCACTATACTAGCCGAGGATTGAAGCAGTCAGAAAAGAGCATCAAATTTGATGAGTTCAGGTGATTACCTCCGTTCTGAGCTCTGGTTCACAATTTTATGTATCGCTCTGAGAACACGACTACTTTGGTGAAGCTCTAGATCTGGATCTCTTAGGAGGTAGCTTCTAAGAGATCCAGATCTAGAGCTGCCTTCTCGTCAAGATCAGCCTTCAGTTCTTTCTGACGGGTGCTTTTTTGATACGAGCCTGACTTCATGATTTAGAAGGGTGTAAGGGGTTACAGATTACATGTATTCCAGGGTTACCCATTACGCAGGCGACGTCACGTACTCAGTGAACGGCTTCATGGATAAGAACAGAGACACGTTGTTCCAGGATCTGAAGCGGCTGCTGTTTAACAGGTATGGAGTTTTTTCTTTCAATTTTGCTCGCTTTCATGTCAAATCCTTGAATTTAAGGCTTTCAACTGTTTCTGTAGATCTCTTGTGATTTCTCTTATTGTAATCTAAAGATTTTTTACTACTCTGATTGATTAGATGGTTTTCGTGTTTTGTAGATCGCTGACGCGAGCGCTCGCAGAGCGGCTTCTTTAGCCACTTTCCATGTTTCTAGCAAGGATTGTCGTTGTTCACAGTTCAAAACGACATTTTCATACTGATCCCTTCACAGCTTGCTTTTACAATGCAATCAACTTCGCTTGTCGCTCAAATTGATGGTGGCTATTCGGTCATTTCGCGCATCAGTGGTCTACAAGTTGCACGACCATGTCTTATAGACTACCATACAAATAATTTTGCAGTAAGAGCGGTCTTCTGCATTCGCTGTTCCCCGATGGTTCGAAGTCAGTCACGGAAGTAAATCGACGACCGCCTACTGCTGGTTACCTGTTCAAGGTAAAACTTACCGATGTATAAATACTTTAGACGTGATGTTACCAGGTCGTCTCTTTGATCGAGCTTAACTTCAAACCTAATAAAAAAGAATCTAGGACTAATGGTTCCCTTTACAGAATTCCATGTTGACGTTGGTGGCTCAGTTGGCCAGTAAGGAACCACATTACATTCGCTGTATCAAGCCGAATGAGGAGAAGAGCAGTACCATTATTTGACTTGGAGCGGGTGGAACATCAGGTTCGCATTTATCGGCTGTCCCATAAGTTGCGCATCACCGCAATGATTTCCTTTTGTTAAAGGTGCGCTATCTGGGATTGCTCGAAAATGTACGCGTTCGACGAGCTGGTTTTGTCTATCGGTGCGGCTACGATCGCTTCATCAACAGGTGAGCGAGATTCTGGAAAGAAATTTCATGAGCCTTTGCTATTACTGAACTTGAGGTGTGTTACAGGTACAAGTTGCTTTGTCCGGACACTTGGCCAAACCCCCGAGGTGGCACCCCGCGAGATAATTGTGCACGAATTCTGAAGCACATTGGCATGCACGACGATTGCGTTTATGGAAAAACTAAGGTGAGTTTCCTTGCCGGTGGTTCAATACTAGAGCTTTCCGTCGGAAAAAATTGTCGTTTTATAAATCGGTACGTCAAAAAAGATTTTTCAATGAGGTGGCTGAATTTGCGTTTATACTCGTAAAACTTGTGATGAGCTTCAGCTGCTTTGCCACCAGCGAAGCAGGGATACGTCTTGGCCAACCACTCTGTGAGGTAGCCTACCCTGGATATATCAACTTCATTATAACAGTGCACGTTTTTCCTTTCCTGGTCACGAGGATGCGCGATTGTGCGGCCCGAAAATCAACAAAAAAACTAGCTCCTTAAAGGAGGAATTCACGATTAGAATGAAGGTCGAAGAAAGGGAAACTGACCTAGTTGAGGGACCCACGGACCTCCTGAGGGTGCGAACTGACGCGCAATTCGCATGGAAAAATTTGACCTCGGCGACCTATCATGCCTCAAAGCTGGCGGTCCGGCGATCTCCGCCCACCGATCATCTGATCACTCGCCGTAGTTCAATACGTGGCGAGTGATTAGATAGAGAGAGAGCGTAGTGTTGAAGAGGGCACAGCGATGAGAGTCGCATCAATGCTCGAATCAACGGGCAAGGAAGGGGTACCATTTCTCGGGTTCTGGGCCGTTTCTCATGGTTCTTCCTTCTTTCGTGTACCACTCACCATCCCTAGGTTAATTTGAAATGGGTTGCTTTTTCATCGTGAATTCGTCCTTTAAGTTGAACACTCTCACTGAATTTTAGGGACTTTCTTTTGACACTTCTTAAGTTATGATTTCGATAGAGTAGAATAAAATATAGGCGATACAAAACGAGGATCGCAATGCGATTGAAATGAAAAGCCCTCTTGCGGTAACTTAGAGTGCCACACCGGCCACGGTCGTGAGTACGCTGTGGTGGCACGCTTCCCTAAACTTTACCGTCGAGGAGTGGCGCAAAAGCCAATGATCTGTTTGAGGTGTCATCGAAGTCCACAAACGGTATTCCGCCTCGAAGAACTACGAAGCGAAAAATTACCAACAGTGGTCATTTATTTGCAAAAGGTTAGTTATCGTCTGATGCACTTCGAAAGAATGTGAACAAGAATGTTTCCCAAATACGCCTCTCACCGAATGGTGATTCACAGATGTTACGTGGCGCCCTGGCCAGACGCCGATACAAGCAGACAAAAGCCGTCTACAAGATCATGGCCACCTACAAACGCTACAAACTTCGCAGTTACATGATCCATGTGATCGAGTTATTCCGGTACGTTACTAATGTATTGCTCAATCCACTGCGGACCACCGTCCGCACACGGGAAGGCACAGTTATATTCAATGATATTAGAATTTTTTAAGTTATGAAGTCGTCGGTAACCTTTTTTGAGCACAGCGAATGCCATGTATACTGTATGTTTACCCACTGATATCCTAGTGATAGATTTTGGATGATGATAAAAGAGACGGCGAAAACCTCAGAGGAACTCGCGTGAGGGCGCTTCTCTGAGGATTTTAAAAACCTGTGACATGAAATCGATGAGAGCCAGATTTTGTTACCTTTTTCTCTTCCGCAGTTCAGTCAGCGCCAGCCTCCGTCAGCCTCAGGAACTATCATAACGGCAGCTGTCTGCATGCTTCATATAATGGAAAATGAGGGATTTCCTGCTCCCTACGGCGTCATTACGTCAGCTATTTGGCCTAATAGTCATTCTAGTTCTCTGTGAGCATTTAGCGCTCGATGCTTCCCAATTACTTCCATATTAACTGCTAATTTACCTTTCTGACTGTGGGAAACCTTCAGATATCGGCCTCTCTCTTTTAGAGTCATAAAAATTCAACTTGAAAAAAGGCCACTTACTAGAATTGTTTTTTACGAGCACCCTTTTTCACTAATCTTCTGAGTGCTTTCTTTGTCTTTCAAGCTAATGGCCGGCTTCGGAGTTGGTGTATGCCGAACCGCAGACTCACTTGTACTCTACCTTTCCTTTTACTTACTTTTACGGCTAATGATTTGGTTAGTTGGCCAACATCGAGACCAACGGGCAGGGTCAGCTGGGCGCAGTTCTTAACAAAGGGGGTCGTATTTGAGTTTTTTCAGGAGGGTTTCAGGAGGTGGATCGTATTTCGGGTTGGTGAAAGGTAGAAGTTGGAGGAAAGAGGGGTATTTTTGGAAGTTGAAGAAGTCGTAGGGGTAGCGGAGGGGGTTCGTGTTTGAAGGACTTTTGGTTCTTTCGTTGGACAGTTCATGAAGGGAGCAAGAGGGAGGAAAAATTACATTTGAGGATTTTCTGTTCTTTTTTGAACATATTAACATATTTATCCCACTGCTCACTCGACGGTCTTTTTGGAGGGTGAAAAAGTGGGCGAGGTGTTGGGCTGCGTCGACTGGTGTCACTCAGAATAAGAAGAATACTAAAGAAATAGCTGTGGTGGTGAGGGTGATAGTCGGGGATGAGGTAAAGGGGGGTCGATTCGAGACCCCCTAAAGAGGGGGCATTGTGAAATTTCAAAATCTGCGCAACGCACAGCTGATCCTGCCAACGGGTCTCGCTCTTGGCTTACATTAACCCTTTGACTACCGCCGTTAGGAATGCGTCACAAGAGCATCCTAGGGCTTCTAATTAAATCCTAAGAGTTCGCTTCAAGATTTTTTTCCATCGTGTTCCTAAGATTGTCAGTTCCGTTGGCTGATTGTCTCCTATCCTCATTGGTAATCTGAGTGGTAACTCTGTTTTCCATTTTCATGAGCTATTACTGCTTTTGGGTGCTCACGGAATTGGACTTCCAATTGCGATCAGGCTGTTAGGTAGTTGCAAAAATAATGTTGGCTAGGCGCTATCGCAGGATACGAGAACACTGTAGGCAGCAATGCATTCAAAGCAACGTAAAACATCTAGTTTGCATTAAATAGTGGACACTGCTGAAGCCTCAGGCTGGTAGGAGAGAATACGAAGTTATACGACGAGTGATTTTTGTTTTCTCCGAGCTTTCTGCTCCCGTCTGAGCTCTGTTCTGAGAAATGCCCCTCACCCTATCGTTATCGTCACTCACTATAAGCGGTTTCGCTTTGTCAACTTCATGCAAAGCCTCATCGAAGGATTGTCATTCTTGAAGGTCATCGCAGGTTCTCACGACCACTGGAACCGTTGGCTTCGTTTGGTGCTTGGTTTCTACGTTCTCCGTGCAAATGCTGTGGGGCACAAGCGACCAGCTGTGTTTTTCAATATTTCCCTTGTTTGAAGTCGCAGAGCACGCGCCCTCGCAGTCCGAAAGTTCCGATCACTTACCTTTGAGAAATTTGTTAGCGAAAAAATAAGGTGGCCCAAGATGAAGTGAATATCAATCGATACTCTGAGATTTTCTCTTTCGCGGAGGTGTAGCAAGTGTATCTGCCAGAAAGCCTCGAAGAGTCGAGAACGAAAATAGCATATGGGTGACATCTTTTGAGACAACAACAACTGACTTCATCTGCACCACGCACAAAGCTTTACTCGGCCTCATTTCTGAGGCGGTGATATCTGCGACGTCATTGGCGCTTGAATGAGCTTGGAATTGCATTAACACATCGACGACACAATGCGAGTTTTGGTGTTTTTGGCCGTGTGGGACCGACGCAATTTTGCGGTCGCACTTGTCGCGGTATATATATCCCCCGCACGGTCCGAGAAGGCCCATTTTTGAAAAGTCGATCGTATAAACAACTTCAGAGAGCGGTTACTAAGTAGTTAGCTTACATGATAAAAAAAACGAAGTGGCCCCTCCAGCAGAAGTTTCGATTGAGTAATCGCCTATTTAGGGTTATAAAATGGATCAAATTGAAGACGTTGTTGAAGAGTGTTCGCATACGTTTTCCACTATAAAAGCTGGAACTTCTTACAACTTGGCAGATTTGTCGTTTTCATTCAAGTTTAGGCGAAAAATTCCAATTCTTTCTTCTTAAGAGTTATTATGAAGTTTGAGCTGAATTAAGAAGTTCACGAGTTTTGAAAAACCTTTGTTAAATTGAAGCATATTCAACTATCCCATGGACCACAACGTTTATAGTTATATCAATATCCGATCCATAAGATAGAAGCAAAAAACTTCGGAAGAAGTCGTGCATCTGCAAAAAATAATGATGGAATGGGTGCGGGATACATATCCCCCGCACGGTCCGACGTGGCCTGCAAAGCGCGGGATATATGTATATCCCTCCGCGCTGTCGTCAATGTGTTTATGCGCCTGAAGGCTTATCTCCTTCATTTTCGTTTTATCATTACTTCCAAAACCTTAGCGTATAATTCGCAAATATGCCGCACCTCGAGTGGATACAAATTAATAAATAAATAATCAAATAAATAACTTTTTGCCTTGATGAGCGCTGAGGCTACGTTCCGTCATTGATTTGTCATCTCGCGCTGATAGAGTGGGAGAGCACCTACACTAATATTATAATACTATTTAATTATATTGCGCCGTGGAACATGAATGGACATTAGTGAATCATTCATTTCCCGAGGGTGCTGTCTTTGTGAGATTTAGAAGAACCTTCCGTCACCGGCTCTCCTTTTTATCTTCCATGGACCTCAACGGAAACAACTATGTCGTTTATGTGTTTGTCCACAATCACGAACTTTTTCTCCGCCCACATATACGGCTTTCTCCCTTTCACAATGTTTTATGGAC